GACCATGTTGTCATGGAGACGAAGGCAAAAATAATCGAAATCCTGGAATTTATTATGAACGTTCGACTTGATTATCGCATTTCCAGTCTACTGACGATTTTCAAACGGGATTTTGACGAAAGCAATGCTGGCTTAGCAGAAATGAATGGAGAAAATGGTATTGTGTCACTGTGTGTTGTTATTTCTGTCTGTTTTTACGAGTCTTGCAGTATTTTAGTGAGCAAAAGTAAAAATGGCGAGTAAAACGTGCAGCGACACATCTCATTAAAATGCCTGACAATAGAACTTGAACTCGCGACCCCTTGATTTCAAGTCCATTCGGCCATGCTGCCTCTAATCTAAGACCTTATTACCAGTTAAATGATAAATGCTTATAACTGTCAGCTCTTTCACTGGCCTCGAGACTTGACGCAACATATTCCAAAACTGATGACTGATAGCGTTACAGGAATCCATTAGGAGCAGTTTGCAATTGAGTGTCGTAAGACCAGAACCGAAGTGATCACTCCGGCCAATCATTGATCACACTGGCAATCCAGTGAACCAATCAAAACTCAAAGCACATACATGAAGTTGACGCCACGCGGCAAAGCGCGGGAAAGCGTGTTCGAGCAAGTCATTATTGGGTTTTACTTCTGATTGGATGACAAAGTGACGCGAGTATTTATAAGCCAATCGCTTAAGGGAGCCCAGTCATGGCATTTTTGAGTTATTTTGGCCATGAGAAAAATTACCTTTAAATTGAAGGAAACTTGAAAATATTAGTTTACTAAGACTGAAAAAAGCCAAAGAGATAATAATAAACCATAAAGGAACAAGGATGGTTAAGGATGGAGAAGATTAACACAGATTACAAACGACGAACTTAAAATATTTAGGCTTATATTTTCAAGTTGCGGAAACCGTGACGTAGTTCCTTTAATGTAGTAATGCAAAACCAGAGCAAATGCGAAATTCTTTCGACACTCGAGTGAAAACCGCTCTAATGCAAGACCAAGCAAATGCTAGTTGCTTTCAAAAGGCTAGTTTAAATCCGCGCTAATGCACTGAATAATCATCTGTCCAATTTTACATTTTATTTCCAGGAACTAAACTCAGACGCTGTAAAATTGATAAAGATGGTGTTCCGTATTACCTTGGACCTCCTAACTGTATGTTGTAAAGTTTAAAACAATCACTCACTCGCGTTAACTTTAAAAAAGTAACTTAAAAATAATTAACTAATTACAATAGGAAGCCACATCAGCCTTCGCTGGTCCTCTATCCAGGTCGAATTGGAGTTTGGAGATGTTGGTTTGACTGTAAAGTGAACTTGCTTAAATATAAATTTTGTTGACTTTTCTCGGAAATGATTTCATTGCTAAGAGAAATGGCATTCAAATTAAACGTCATAACAAAACAAATTTGGAGTAAACAACTTGAAATAGCTTAAACAAACTAAAATGATGTTAAATAGCTGCTGTAGTGTGTGACCTTGATCTAATGAGGATCCTCGGTGTCGTAACCATCTTTACATTCACTGCTTGTAATCTTCAACCTTTGAAAATATAACTAAAGTTTCCAAATAATCTGCTATTGGCCGCGAGAGACCTGGGCATCAGGCAACTACAAATGGCTTTTGTTCTGAAGATTTACAGTAAGTCTAAAGATAGCAAATGATTGTAGATTGAATATTCATTTTCAATTAAATGGTAACTGAACTACAAAGATCAAAATCTGGATTTTGATTTAAATATAAACTCCTTTGAACTATATCATGAAATTTGTAATCGAGTCTGATACTATGAAGGTTGGAATTGATTGTCTGTAGAGGCGTTTTGAATTTTCTGTGTCGATTTTGTTTTGATTTGCGAACACACTTTTATACTTTCCATACAATGTACAAGTTGATGATAAACATTCTACTTTCAGGGATTGACCTGGAAAACATCAGCGCACAAGCGGAAGCTATATTTGGAGGGTCTACGTAAGTTCTTCCGTCTGTTAGAGAGATCATCAGTAGGCCTGCAAATATTATTTTTTGGTTCTATTTTTCCACAGAGCTGTTTTAAGGAACAATGTCAAGATATTTTAAAGCCATTTTCTGATTAATTTTTAATTGAAAAAATGTCAAAATAATAATTTCGTAATGTAGGATGATACCAAAATTGTGTTACAAAAAAACAAACTAAATAAGGATGGCCATGAGACGGATTACAAACGACGAAGTTGACAGAAATCGGTCAATTTTGTCACGCTGCGCGGTCCGTGACATAGCTCACCATACATTGGAGCGATCAATATGGAATTCCTCCTTTCAATATTGGATACTGTCCAGTAAACAGGTGATAAGTGTTAATAAAAACATCATCCAAAGTAATATTGTCCGCCTGATTTAACATGAAATTCTCGGAACTAACATGTAAAAGAAATGTGTGGTTCTCCGCAAGGAGAATTAGAATTTTGAACTTTGAACTGACGGAATTGAATTTTCTTTCAGTGGACTAAAAGAGATTGACCTTGATCTTGATGGTCAGGGGGGCCGCACATTCCTCCGTGTGCTGTTGTACCTGTGTATGCATAACTACCCTCCCCTGGTGACAGGGGCGCTACAACTTCTCTTCAGACATTTCAGTCAGAGACAAGAAGTACTGCAAGCCTTTAAACAGGTCAGTGAGTCTTAACAGGTCCTCAACACACATAATTACCTTCCCTGTCAGTACGTAGCTGGTCTGTTCGGTTTCCAGTAGTGCTGAGTTTAACTGTTTAGCCACACAACAAGCTAACCCGGCTATCTACCTTCCCCTCTCCACCCACCCTTCCCGTCGCCTTCCCCATTTCTCCCCCACACCCCGTCCCCGCCAGCACGCCAGTTTTGCAAGCTTTCCAACCCACTACTAGCAAGATTTGTTCTCGCCTCGTTCTGGGTAGTCCCGAGTTCAGCTGCCTTGTTATAGCTAACTGGTTAGTCTTCAATCATTGGGCTTTCAGTACATCATTATGATTAACCATGTTGTGTTATTTGAAATATGTCTTCCCTCTGTTTGAGTGGCATGTCTAAAAAACTAACTGAAACTAATCTAGCCTTGAGTGAAGTGAACTTCATAATAATACATTACGTTTTGTGAGTTTAGAGTCTGCGTTGTTTGGGCCTAGTCAATACAGGACGCGGTATGAGGGAAGGATGAGGAATCCCACTACCTTCTAGACTCCGAGTAGTCCCTCTTTCGCTTAGTCCGTCGTGCGTAACGTGAAGAAAACCGCGAGAAAAAAAATGGGCGCGCGAAACCTTGGAGCAGGGAGCTTCTCGCCTCCAGGATTTCGCGCGGCCATTTTTTTCCTTGCGATTTATTTACGGTCACGCTCGACGGACTAAGCGAAAGATGGACTACTCGTAGTCTAGATACCACCTTACGGACCACTCCTGTGGTCCACTTATTGTCTCGCCTCAGATTTCGTATTTCGCCTGCAAATGACCTAAGCTCAAAAGCGAATGACAATGATGACACAATGTGTTAAAAGCTAGTTATCGAGGTCTGGACTCTTTTTGCGGCATAGGTACAGCTACTGGTATCTAACAGTGATGTGGAGAACTACAAGCAAATCAAGTCTGATTTGGATGAGCTTAGACTGCTGGTGGAGAAATCCGAGCTGTGGGTGTACAAGAGCAAGAAGGATCTTCCTACTGAGACTCGCGCCAGAAAGATCACACCAGGGCTGGTTGGGTTGAGGAAGGATGGGGGCAGCAGCAGTAGCAGCAAGGAGCCGGAACAAAGAAAAGACAGTCTGGAACAGCAGGATATGGAAGTTGTTGGCACTAGCACGTCACAGGTAAAGAAAAGCGGTTATTTTCCTTTTGTATTTATTGTAGGCATTCTAATTATATCCTAAGTAAAAACTGAGCTAAATTTGTTTCTGTTTGTTGAATTTCCGATTGTTTTGTCTTTTTCACTTTGCTAGGACCCGCACAGTAGTGACAGCGAGGGTGGGGGTACTAAGGTGTGTAAACTGAGTGTGATAAAGCATGTTGAATAGAGAATAATATATGGCGCGCGTGGTTGACAACGAGAATAGGAACTCCAACTCTATAAGGAACCATGTATTATTTTGTTTATCTCATAAATATACCAATAACGACATTTTTGACGATTTTCCAAAGATTTCTAATCACTTTCCGTAGATTTCTGAAGACTCTACAAAAGTTGTCTGAAGGCTACACGAACGTTTCGGAACAATTCCTATAATCACCGTAGATTGCCGAAGACTTCCGAGGAAGATTCGAAAGTGTTTCGATCATACACCAACAAATTTAAGTTCTGTTAAAGGGTCAAACGTGTAAAACACCGCAGTTTATATAATAACAAAAAATATCAACTAGGAAGAAACTAAAAAACAAGCAACGCCGTACGAATCACTATTCAATAGACTTTTTGTCTTCAATATGCAATGTTGGACACAAAAGCCAGTGTAGCCTAAATGTGCGTTAACTGATCTTCTTTATTCATTTCACTCTTCAGTCAGAGCGGCAACGGATGGTTAGCGATGGCTCCATTGAACTCGAAGTTGAGCACTCCGACACTGTGTCACTGAAAAACTACAAGAAGACAGAAGCGGTAAGATACTTGTATCAAGTGTGTTCTTTAACCTTAGTGACTGAAGATGTGTAGTATTTTGTTTCTGTTGTCTGTCTTACGACATTCGGACACACCTTCAGCGCCATAAAGCCTTCAATTTCAAAAGCCAGAACCTGTTGCTAGAAAGTCCTTCAGCTGAAATTGTTCTGTTCATTATTGCGGATTTTCATGTTGTAAATAGTTTACTAGATAACCACAAGTCAGGTATTGCCAGTTGTTTTTTAGTACATTATATGACAGATTTTTCAGGAAACACCGGGCGCTTTTCATTCAACCAAAAATTCCCGAACTTTCGAGACGGGGGCAAATGGCACGGTAAAGGCTTCCTGGGAAAGTTTTAGGTAAAATCCGAACAATTCCGAATCTTACCTTCAGCCGAAAATTCCAGGAGGAAATCAAATGGAACGGAAATTCTGATACGAAATTTTTTGAAAATTTGGGTATACCTCGCGATGTTGTCCTCTTTTCTAAAAATTCCGGAAATTGCCACTGGAAATTGCGAGAAAGTCAATTCCAAATTTCGTGGTCAAAGGGAGAGCGCCCACTTCTGGTCCTGAAATGTCGTAAAGACAACCACCATACTAACGTGTGCTCTTGTGAATATTTACATGCTTTGCTTTTCGTTTTACCTAGATCCTTGAAAGACTGAGCAATCTTTGCGTATCTTTTGGTGCAAGCTGTGTAAAGAACCGTAAACATGAACAAAGATTGTTAAGAAACATGGGAGCTCACACAGTAGTTCTGGAACTGCTACAGATACCGTATGAAAAGGTACACTGCTTATACAGGTGCCAGTGAAACGCGTAAAGTGGAAAACTCTTTGATGAAATAGCGGGCTCCTGCTTGAATCTGCTTAAAATTTTCTAATTTAAGTTATTAATTTTTAATTTTATTTTTTATAAAATTTAATACTGTAAATGTTGATAAATTTGAAGATATTACTATGATAGTTAGGCTTTTGATATTTGTTTTAATGTACTTTCCTATATTTATGTTTTTATTTTTGTATTTTTCCTATCATTGTGTATTCTATGTTAGGTAATAGCTTCAGGGCTCCTATTGATAGCAGACATGCTTTGTAAGCTCCCTGAATGGACTACGCTGAAAATTTACCTATAGATTTTTACTTTTAAACAAAGGTGTCTATCAATCTGTGTCTCTGTCAACTGATATGTTGGTCAGATTGCGTTAAGAATAAACGTGTGAGAAGTAGTGGGACACATGTTGTATTAGGAATAATTTTCGCGTAAATTTCTGAAGTTTGTGCTTAGTAATCTGTGTCAATATCATCCTTGTTTCATTTTAGTTTGTAATTTTCTTTGTAGTGTTCGCCTAACTTAGCAAATTATCATATCAAGCGCTTCCTTCAGTTTAAAGCCAAGTTCCTGTTTTGCAAAAAAATGGCTTCATACATTTTGACGCAGTTCCTTTTATGATTTGGCCGGATTATCCGAAGTGTAGCAGCTCTGTTAAGCTTGTAATTCTATTTGTCGTCACCGCATATTTAAGCAATAGACCACAAGCTTTTATGGTTTATAGGCTGATAAACCACTTGGGATATTGGAAGAACACTCGAAATTTCCATGAGTTTACTGGCACTGTAAACCACAGCTGATTGACCAATCAGAGAGCGCGCATTCATTTAATTATTACATAAAGTTGTTATTGTTTTAGGGCTAGGTGCATTGCTTCTGTTGTTTGTTCTATTGTCCTCTCAAAGGGCTTCAAGCCATTCATGTGAGACCTTACGAGAGCTGCTACATCACCCAGATTATCTTAAAACGTCGTAAATACGTTGAATTCCTTTGAATCCGTTACATTCCCAGGCTAACTCCTTTGCCTCCCTTGTCGTTAAGGGAGGTGAAGAAGAGAGAGCCTGGGATCGAGGCTGCGGTCTACCTTACTGAGACTCTAAAGCGTTCTTGCATTTTCTTGCTTTAGAATGAAGATTTGAGGATGGAGGAGATCATGGCCCAGGCTCATGAGTTTTTACGTAACTTCTGCCTCAGCAATCCTCAGAACCAGGCCCTACTCCACAAGCATCTGGACTTGTTCCTCACCCCAGGGGTAAGCACGTCTATAGACTCATGTTACTCTTAAGACGTTCCAGTCAAAACAAACTATTATTGATGTTCAGCAAATGATCGATTACCCGACAAATCTCCGCTTTCCTTTGGAGTATTGCGGATACTTTGTTACCAAGCAGCGTCATTAGAGCAGTTTTTGATTGACTCTTGAATGTATTGAGTGTTTGTTTCAGTTTTACTAGTTGATCTCGTTTTGGAACAGCAGAACTACGATCAATACTCTAGAAATGACTCGGTTTATCCGGGTTTTTCCGCGGGAGGAGCAAGTTGCATATTTTCCCGCGAGAGGGGCTGGTTGCAAGTTTTCCCGCGTGAGGGACTGATTGCATGTTTTCCCGCGCGAGGGGTGGTTGCATGTTTCCCCGCGTGAGGGACTGATTGCATGTTTTCCCGCGTAAGGGATGGTTGCATGTTTTCTCGTGCGAGGGACTGATTGCATGTTTTCCCGCGCGTGGGACTGATTGCATGTTTTCCCACGCTTTCCATCGGATGTTAAATGAGTCACTTGAGAAAATGTAAATGTTGCCGTGTGTCTTCTTTCGTCCTTTAGCTGAAAGAAGCTCATACGTTACGCTATGTCTTCATGGAGAACTCAGCGCTTTGTTATGAGGTCACTGAGAAAGTAGTTCAACATATTGTGCACTGTGTTGAGACGCAAGGCCGCCATGTTGAATACCTGAAAGCTTTGCAGACCCTGGTGAAAGCAGAGGGACAGTCCATCAGAAAAACCCAGGACATGGTCATGGCCGAGGTATGTCGGCTTGGATTCTTCAGACGCAAATCGTAATAGCAGTGTTTAAAGAAACTCTTGAGTTCTGATAGGCTAACAAAGGAGGGAAACTTTCAGGAAAAGGAATGCAAATAACTGATTTCTGACATCGGTTTGAAGGAACCCGAAGACCCCTAACTAGGTTTCGCGAGTATTCCCGAAGCCTCCGGAAGATTTTTGATAAAGCCCGAAGCTAGTGAAAAACAAGGAGATTTGCTTGGATCCATATCATAGAACAAGTTACCCGAGAATAGAAATAGAGAGAAACTTGGCCCTTTGCGAGAAGAAAATGCTGTTAAAGAATTAAGATAAATTTTAAAGAAATATGAAGAATTTGAATTAATCTCAACCCTATAAACCCTTTGTTTTTCAAGATCAAAAACATCCTTTTTTCTACAGTTCGTCGCAGGAGAATTTGTGTTTCGGTGAAGAGGGCTTTTGTAAGGAGAGCAGTTCTAGCCACTTGAAATTTGGCACAGTGGAACCCCGCCTAACGGCCACTCCGTTAATACGGCCACATTTTTGTGGCCCTTGGTGACCAGATTAACTGTGACCAGTATAAATAATTTTATCATTGCAATTTGTTTTCTTAGTTAGTGAATGTGGGCGAAGAAGTGCTGGTGTTTTACAGTGACCCCCAGTCCTTCAACTGTCTTGTCGACATGATGCAATCTGAACGAGAGAGACTAGACGAGTCTGGTCCCCTGCTGTACCACATCAACCTGGTAGAACTGCTGGCCTGTTGTACCGAGGGCAAAAACGTGTACACAGAAATTAAGTGTCACAGCTTACTTCCACTGGATGACATCGTGCGAGTTGTCACGCATCCGGATTGTATCCCCGAGGTGAGAGGGACTGGGGATGGTAGAGCCTGCAGTACTGACGTTTGTTAGAGTGCGGTTTGTTAATTCACTCATGCGTCGCAAAGCAATAACGAGAGTTGAGGCGAGGCAAACATTGGGCAAAAGTATGGCACTGGGGTTATAAAGAAAAGAGAAAATATCCCCTTAGTCTTGTGACAGATTCAAATACTGGGTTTTTATTCGTCATTTGATGTAATGTATCGAACACGAAAGACCGTGTTTGTCCACATCTCCAAACACCGAAAAGAGAGTTGAAAATACGACGCGTAGCGGAGTATTTTTGACAAACTTCGAGGTTTTCGGAAATGTGGTCAAACACTGTCTTGAGTGTTTGATATATCTTCTCAATCGGAACTAAACTAAGGAGAAAACGGAGAAAAAAAATTGTAAAAATCTATGCTAATTAAGATCAGATATCCAAACACCGTCACGGTCATGATTTCCTTTGTTTAAACTTGATAAATTATTGATGATTTTGAAAAAAATAAATTTCTTCACCCGAGAGACAGGAGACTTTATCCAAAGAATCGAATGCGATATTAGCAAATATAACTTAAAGTACACGAAATGAGCGCCTTCTAGTTAGCTGCGTTTGATTATTGCATAGCCAGAATGCCTGGTTGCGGCATTAGAGGATGCAGAATTTGTGTGCAGTACTCTCCCGTGACCAGAAATCTTCCTTGAAATGCTTCCCCAGCAAATATGAATCTGTGTTGTGTTCCCTTAGGTGAAGAACTCTTATGTTAACTTTCTGAATCACTGCTACGTTGACACGGAGGTAGAGATGAAGGAGATATACACAAGTAATCATATCTGGACTCTGTTTGAAGACTTCTTAGTTGATATGGCCCGGGTAAGGCAATATGCTGACATAAAGTAACTGGTTCCTCGGAAAACAGTTAATTCTGTTTCTCACAAATATCGGGAAACGTCAAGATTTTTGAAAAAGCAAACTTAAATAACGTACTTCCCAATACACTAGTTGATGACTTTTTGTTATATGAAAAAATAAATTTAAAAAGGAAGCATTAGATCACACCTTATCACAAACAAGTAGCATAATACCCCTGACCTAGAATTATCGAATTTTAGTCTGTTCTGTGCATAGCAAGAAAACAATATTCCTTCACCCCGTAATTAGCAGAAAAATCTGTATATTTTTCGCCTGCACAACAATCTACAACTATGGACTTACTGTGTTGGAAAATGCGCAAAAACATGAAATCATGACCGCAATACTAACAGAATAAGCGTCAGCACCCCCATTCCCCCTATAATGTGGGAAAATGGTAAAATGCAAACTTGTGTTAGATGAAAGTATTTTGTCAACATTGCACAGTGGTGGGGAAGGGCAAAATGCGTCTAGAATGAAGTTTTCCAACCCTTGTGACCAAGGTTGTACGTACTCTGTTGTACGATAACGGTATTTTTTTTAAAATTTCTTTCCAGGTTTGTAACAACACCTTAGACAGATTTCACGCAGACACCATGTTGGAAAAATACGCAACAGAAACTATCATGAATTTACTGACGTTCTTTTTCAACTCACCGTTCTCTGACTCTAGCACCACCATAAAGGTACTCTACTCTGTGTAGCGGGAGACGCGGTGGCCTCATGGTTAAAGCGCTCGACACCAAATCGAGCGGTCCGGGTTCGAGGCCTGGCCGGGGACATTGTGTTGTGTTCTTGGACAAAACACTTTACTCTCACAGTGCCTCTCTCCACCCAGGTGTATAAATGGGTACCGGCGAACTTAATGCTGGGGGTAACCTTGCGATGGACTAGCATCCCATCCAGGGGGGAGTAGAAATACTCCTGGTCGCTTCATGCTACAGACACCGGGATAAGCTGCGGCCTGGTGGGCCACTGAACTCGTATGCAGACTTAACCTTATCTACCTACTCTGTAAGGTTGCAATCTCAGCAGCGAAATGCATAAATTCTGGTTCTATTCGGGTTATTTCAAGAACACCACTGATAAAGCATTCTTTTGCAATAGTCACCTCATATAGATCTAAAGCTTAGAGAGCCTTTGACTAATTTCAACCAAAATGGAGAATTTCCTTGACAAGATATGCTTTTATGCCGCCGTTTTATGAAATGAGAAGTTGTAGCAGCAAATAAGACCGTAATTTTGTTAGTGCTAAGCGTAATACTTGCTGTGTTTGAGCACAATTAACACACTGTTTTTCGTTTCAAGTCACGGCAGCCTGTCTTTGTTCGTCTTCTTCGCGGTGCATTCCGACTTTCCCAGTGCTCCTGGATGACAGGATCACAAAAATACCATGTGGAGACGTGTATCAAGACGTTATCTGATGTTGGTGAGTCGGGGATCCTATCTGAAAGAACTATAACCTTTACAAGAACTGTAATTGTACAACTACCTACTCCAACGTCTCCAACCCTATGCAATGTTTATGTCACACTCTAGATCGAAAAACAAGTGTTCTCGGCCCTGATTTCCAATATTCAAGGCAGTTGAAAGGTGTAGGAGGCCGAAAATAACAAGGATTTGATGATCTTGAAATTATTTTGTCATTATCATTGTCTCGTTCACGTTTTATGTAATATATCAAACACGAAAGACCGTGTTTGACCACATTTCCAAACACCGAGAAGACAGTTGAAAATGCGACGCGCAACGGAATAGTTTTGACGAACTTCGAGGCGTTTGGAAATGTGGTCAAACACTGTCTTGAGTGTATGATATGTCTTCTCAATCGAGACTAAAGCCATGGAGAAAACGGAGAAATAAGACAGTAAAAATCTATAATGCGCTTTAGAGAGGGAAAATCTCAATAGGTCACATTGAGGGTACGAATATGGCCTATTAACCTAAGTCTTCAGTTCCACCTCTTCAGGGAGACTTTTTGTCTTATTTCTTAAAGGTCTCCGATCTTAACTATTCATGTTCCCTTTTGTTTTATTGTCAACTCTTTTTGGTGTTTTCCGCTTTAATAAACTGTCAGTTTGAGTTTTCCTTCGATTGAAAAAAGTTTTGACCTTCAAATGGAGGCGCCGAGATGTGAAGCTTTCTTCTCACTTCATTTGCAGCTAGGAATCGTGGGATTGCAATCCCAGCTGACCTTGAGAGCCAGATCCAAGCGTTGTTTACTCGGTCCCAGTTGGTGATGAAACACACTCGACATTGGCTCAGTCACGGGAAAGTCCGAAGGGACTCCATGATGAACCTTTCCAGGGACTATAGGAGCATCATTGAGGGACTACAGGTAACGTCCCTTAATCATGTCACGCGTTGACCCCACAAAGTAAGACTGTTAACTTGTGTTTCGTAATTTGAATCACAGGATATTGTTTCGCTATTGGAGGATCAACTTCGTCCGCTCGTCCAATCAGAGTTATCGGTGTTGGGTGACGTGCTGTATCGTCCAGAGTTGATGTTTCCTCGGCAGTCCGAAGCATGGCACAAGTCTAAAAGCGGAGGGTTCGTCTCCAGGTACAAATGAACGGGGTTTGAGTTATTTCATAAAATCGCCTTTTATAAGCGCTTTGCGTTGTGATGAACTTCAGTGCTCTGTAGCGACCCTTTGAGTTTATTTTATTTGATGCGTTAACGTGGCCCTTTCATTATAAAGTACAACGTAGTTCTAACTTTCAGTTAACTCTGTGAATGAAACCCAAGTGTGTAACCATTCAAATTTAAGTTATTGAGCAGTACTTTCATGCGGTACTGTTTATTATGCTGTACAGAGTGGGCTACGTTAACGCATCCAATACAAGGTGGTTCTAACTTTAGTCTCTGGATGAAACCCTACTGTGTGACCATTCAAATGAAAGCTTTAGAGCAGTGCTTTCATGCAGTACTGTTTGCTATATTGTTCAAGTTTCCATTTTTCTAACCGTTCTGCGGATGAAACTCTGGTGTGCGACCATTCAAACGAAGCTAATGAGACTCGCTTTCACGTGATGCTATTTATTTTCCATAACAGACTTTCTGTATTTCTTTTAAAATATTTTCAAGTTTTCTCCCTCCTCAGTAGCTCATGAAAATTCGTTCTGGTCAATAATCACCAGAGTTTCGTTAAGGCACTGAGAAGTTAGAGCCAGCTCAATCGAAGTTCTACTCAACAGCTTTCATTTCGTGGGTCACAAACTATGGTTTCATCCGCATACTTAAACGCTAGATCACCTTTAAGTATGGACTCGAGGACTCTCAGGGGTAAAAAGAAAAATTCCCCAAGTTTCTTCCATCCATCAATTCCCTTTCAAACATAAGATTATTGTTTCATATGATCGACCGGAGACGTTTCAAAATATGGTACTTTGTTTTGTCTCCACCAGGTTGATAGCACACGCTAAACAGCTGCTCGAGGACAACGAAGAAGCTTTGTGTGTCCGAGTGCTGCAGACGATCAAAGGCATGATGGCGCGTGATATCGACTTTGGAGACAAGGTCAGTAGGAAGAATACATTACAATTTTTACACCTTATCGTACCTTTCTGGTGCGTTTCGGTGGCATATCAGGCGAGTTTGGTCGAGCCATGGTTCGAATTTTGGCCAGACATAGTCGAGCCAAAATATCCATGGCGAGACCAAACGTACCTGATATGCCACCGAAGCGTACCAAAAAGGTACGATTAGGCATTTACCGTTCCCAACTTCGGCCAAGTGACCATGATATCATATCGAGTCAGTGACTTGATATCGCAGGATATCAGGACAGTATACACGGCTTCTGATTGGCTAATTGCGAATTTGAATGCGGTAAAAAGTCAAATCGGACAGAACTCCATCTGAGAGTCTGTACTGTGCCCGCGGTGTTCGTCAGAGGCATTGCTACGCAACCTGACGTATGCTAAGTTGACGTGACAGCTTTTCGTAGGCTCACGAGTGTTATTATTGTCTTTTGATTGGGAGACAGTAATTGAACGCTCCTCGGATGCTACGAAAGTTGAAATAATAGAACTTTATCTCAAAGCAACGCAGATATTGCCTTCCTAGATCAATATCGGTCACTTCTTTGGACAGATTTTTAATGTTTTCTTCGAGTGAAGCGACGGTAAACAGATTCCATGTTGCCGTGCGTCTGTTCAGTGATAGATCACAGATGACGTCAAAATGTGGTAAGAACAAAAAATTGGCAAACGAGGCGATAGCTGCGTGTGTCCCTGATGTTCATACCACATGTTGACGTCTTCTGTGATCTGTTACTGAACAGACGCACGGCAACATAAAATCTATCTGTTTTAGATAATAATAATAAAAAAATGTTAATGACGTCATCAACGCGTCTATCCTCCAATTGATCGTAGGTAAAAACCAATCAAAATCCGAGAAGAATTTGACCTATAATATAAAGGCGATAATCTGTTGAAAAATACCCGCTTTCGATATTCGCTATATTTCGATTACTCGCTGTTTAATTGTATCCCTGTTTTGTTTCAGGGTGACGCGCTACGTTCGTCGCTATTAAGCCGCTATTTTGGTGCAAATTATTACATCACAATCAGTCAGGCCAATACTAAGACCTCTACCGATAGCAACAGCAAGAAAACCGCCAGTCAGGATGTAAACTCGGGGCCTGGGGCTGAGCTGCTGTCACGCGCGGGCGTCACGCTGTGCGAGATGCAAGGTCGGCTTGACAAGTGTGGAGCGTCTGATCTGATTATTGATCTCATTATGAAGCAGCCGAACCACAGGGTGTTTCTTGAGATACTTGAGCTCGCAATTGCTCTGCTTGAAGGGGGAAACAACTCTATTCAGGTTGGTGTTAAGTTTAAAAGGCTTAAAAGCCGGGTTGCTCAAAGCCCGATTAAGCTAACCCAGGATCAGCGAGAATTTTGATTGGATTTTTGTAACTTTTCGTTGAGGTTTTCTGTTTATATTGTTTGCCCTTCAGTTTTGAGCTTGAGTGATCTCAAAGTACACATAACATAAGTAGTGAAAAACATTTTTACCCCAGAAAAATAAATACCTCAGGTAACTTTTAATCCTGGATTAGCGTTAACCGCCTTTCGAACAACCCGGCCCCTTGAATTTAAAAAAAAAAAAAAAGAAAATTCAAGGCTTTGCAAATCCCTACAAAGTGAATTTGGAGCTTACAAAGCCTTACAATTTTTGTTACTGATACAACAGTGAGTAGTTTGCAAATGTCTAGTTTTCATTTCCAATGTTCACATTTGTTTGGTGCGTCCTCAAGAAATTGGATTACAGTCCTAGAAAGTTCTTAAATTGTTTGGTCCGAAGGCAGTTTGAAACGCCAAACTCGATAGGTTTTCATTCAAGAACGCCTTCTTTATTTGGCGTTGAAAGAGTCTTTTAGGGCGACTTTTGTCAAAATGCTTTACGTTACCTTTTTGAATGTTCTCCTCTCATTTCATTATTTTTCGTAGAAATCTTTTCTCCAGCGATTTATAAACGGTAGATGTGAAGAGTTCTTCCGCTACGTTTTTGATAAAATGACGGATGCAGAGGCTGAAATCCGAGCAACCATCACAGTTCAAACAACAGAATCTACAGTAGCAAAGAAGAGCGATAAAGATGTTCCTCATGGTAAGACCACTGATGGACGTAGAGGGACTGTATTTGGAGGACGACGGGACACTCTGGTAACAGGTTAGTGATGTAAATATATTCCCCGCCCCCCTCCCCGCTGAAAGCTAAATTCTACTCGAAGCACTAGTCCTCTACAATCAAACGTTACGTAATGAACTGCAATATGGACGTAAGGGTTGGACCATTTAACTTTTCAGGGGGAGGGTGGGTGATTTGGTATAGGCTTCAATATATTTTTAACCCTTTCATGCACCAGGAAGTTTTTTTCTCGGGATGACAGGTGTGTACACATAATAATTTTTCTCCTTGTAACATGCCTTTTTAGGCTAACTGAACGTGCGTTGTATTTTTTTCGGCAGCGGTCGTGTGCGTGAATTTGTTTTTGGTACAAGTATTCTTGCAGGATATTTTTTTCCAAAATCAAAACTGATTATTTTTTATATTTAAGTTTTCTATGATTACTGCAAAATTGTGGTGAAACAGAGTAAACAATAACATTTTTGAATATTAATTTTCTCCTTTTCAAGGTTCTTTACTCGGTATCAGCGAGGACGTGAAGGAACAATTATCCGATGCAGCTACGCACACCAGCAAGGCTTACGCGGCCGTAAGAAGGGGCCGAGACCCGGACGCTGAAGTGGAACCTACCAGACCGTTGCCGAGTACATCACTGTTTGGAACTGATCTGCAAAGCAGCTCAGGCAAACATGAAGTTAAAACCATGTCCCCAGAGGTGCTTGTTATGAAGCCGATTCTGAGATTCCTGCAGCTGCTCTGTGAGAACCACAATAGAGAACTGCAGGTAAGTGAGCTTGAAATGGTCTGTAAGGTCGCTTGGGTCAATTTCTAATTTTAGACATTTTACTCATTCGTACTTGTACTTCGTTTTCGATATACCCATTCTCTTTCATTACCCTGACTACCGTAATGTAGCTTTTGGTGGTCGCCATAGCACTGTCTATGTTGGATTTCGAAACGGTTCCTTCTATGTAATTCGCTCTTAACTTGGTTTGGTTGTCGTCTTAAAGGAGCTACGTCGCGGTTTGCGCGTCTTAAAAAGTTTAGGCTAACTTTTTCAAGTTCGTCGAGTTTTAATCCGTGTAAATCTTCTCCGTCCTTAACCACCGTCGTTCCTTTCTGGTTTATTCTTAGCTCTTTGGTGTTTTTCTGTCTTAGTAAACTAATATTTTCAGGTTTCCTTCAATGTGGCTAAAATAATTCAAAATGCTGTGACTGAGCTCGTTTAAGTTATTGTAGAGAGCTTTCTAATCGCTTCTCTATGTCCAGAACATGAATCTTAACACTGTTAGCTAACAGTTTTAGCAAGACTGATGTCTTACTTGGTTGTTCAGAATTACATTCGCAAACAAGACCACAGCAAGACCAACTACAACTTGGTTCACGAGACTCTGCAATTCCTTGACTGCATCTGCGGCAGCACGTCTGGGGGACTGGGACTACTCGGTCTGTATATCAATGAATCGAACGTGGGACTGATCAACCAGTGTCTGGAGAGTTTAACCGAGTACTGCCAGGGACCTTGTCACGAAAATCAGGTGCGTGGCTCTTGTTGTGTGACTTTTATTTTAGGAAAAGTTTTGTGATTTGTGTTATTTACCGCAGTGTTTCGAAAAGCTAGCGAGGTCGTTGTTCGGGATTAGAAGCTTTTGAATTCGTTTGACCTTTCAGGTGGCCAAATTTTGTTTATTGTGTGTTGAGAAAGTCGTTCGATGGTTTTTATCCTGACTGCTTGTTACAAGGGCAATACAAAAACTGGCTTGAATTTCGGTTTGTTACTTGGTATTTTCTGATCGCGTTACTTAGGATTTAGCGATAAACGCGCAAAAATTTGGCGTTTCTGTCGGAAATTCTGCTTTTCTTTTTCTTTGATTTGGTTCAGTTTATGTAAACGAATATTATTACTGATATTCCTTGGGGCTTGTTTCTCTTCAGACCGCTATCGCTCTACACGAGTCCAATGGTATCGACATTATCATTGCTTTAGTTCTAAACGACATCAACCCGCTGGGAAAACAACGAATGGATTTAGTTTTGGAACTCAAGGTTTGTGGCAGCATTGTATACTTTGTTATTCATCTTCGTGTTTTCCTGTTTTTTTTTTGTTGTACTTACATGCCATACTCTGTTGAAGCCCTTAAAGCATTTTGAAATTGCTAAATAGTCATAAAAAGCGTTTATCAACCGGGGGAGTAAGTACCAGACTCAAGGCTCTGATCTCGCTGGTTTCGTCGCCATGGTTGCTAAGCAATCTGACGTCACCTCGTTTCACCATGTTGACGTGAAATTGATTTTTTGATTGATTTGCCCACTGCTACACAAACTCTTAAAGCTTTTAAAGTAACGTTCTTTACTTAGAGGGATGAAACATTTTTCGTTTGTTGTGCTCTTTACATCACACGTTGCCATACGTTGCCTAGCAACGTCCACACGTAGCTTAGCAACGTAACGATGGTTGCTATTGGAAGGGTGTGTTCACTTGCTAGTAAACACATTTTCTTCTGAGTGGCTCATAAGAGGCGTTAATTCTTTGGGTATTTTCGCGCTAAATATTAGTCCTCGTTGTGTTGCAGAAAAAGAGTGATTAATACTCTCTCTTGATTTTTTTTTTCTTTTCCAGAACAATGCATCGAAAACTCTGCTAGCGATAATGGAAAGCCGTCACGACACAGAGAATGCTGAGAGGATACTGTACAACATGACACCTCAACAGCTGGTATGCCTGGTCAGGGATATCACCAGATAACTGAGCTAGATCTCAGAGCTCTGGCTTAGTCCTGCGAACTCGGATTTGTTTAATACATTCGACTGCTAGAGATCCACTGCGAAGTGATTAAGTTGAAATGTCGAGAATAAAGTCCCAGGTTGAAAACGTTCCCAAAGTCTGATCATCAGCTTATGTTATACCCAATGATATGTCATGGTTGTTCCAAAGACAAATATGTAATGCAATCATTTTTAATCGCATAATTCTTGCCTCTTTCAGGTTGATGTTTGCAAACAAGCCTATAACCAGGAAGATCTTGAAGACGAGAATGAATGCGAGGTTTCTTGTCGTGATGTCGGTCATAATATTTTCATTCTCGCACATCAGGTACTTTTATTCACACAAACCTCATCCGTGGGAAAAAAACATGGCCACTGACTGGTACATTTACCCATAATTCATAGCGCAAAAATACTGCTCATAAATACTTACAGGAAAGTTCTAAAACCTCCAAACCTGACATGTACAGTGTTGTTAGTACAGGGACAAATATTCCAAAAGATTGCTTTCCTTGTGCTTAATGGGCTGTGTGGTTCGCGAGATATTGGGATAAAAAGTACAGCCGCCATCTTTTTCTCCCTACGGAGGTTTGCATGAAACAACAACGACAACAATAGCTTTATTCACTCATACATTTTACAGTTCTACCAAAAAAATGCATATGAATAGAAGGACAGAAAAATAATGAACATTTGAGTCTGGAGACTAGGGTAACCCGAAAGTTTTGTAGTCATTCTCCAGTTATTGTAAGGTTTCTATAGATATTGAGAGAAGTTG